TGAGAGAGGGGGAAGATGAAGACGAGCATGAGATGGGGGGTCACACGAGGGATGAGAGCCCTGTTCCTCCGTTTTACGTACAAGACGACGGTGGTTCAGAGGAGAGCGACAGTGTCCTTGCGAGGGAAGATACGGCGCGACGGAGGAAGCGGTTCTCGCTCCCTGCTGTTGCGCTGCAAACTGCACCTGTCTTTGCGCCTGCGGGTCCCGGAGAGGGTGGGCGTGTGGTGGGCGTTGGAGATGACGGCACGGAGGGGGGAAATGGCGGGCGGCGACGGTTCTCGCTTAGTTATGGAGGTAGCGGAAAGGAGAAGGGCAAGAGGGAAAGGGAGGGGGGGAAAGATAGCTCGGCGGTGGCATTGCTGATAGAAGTGCTGCGGGGCAAGACCAGGCGCCCCGGAAGAAAATAAGTCCCGGGGCGGGTGATGAGCTGCGCATAAGACCGGCGTACGACAAACGGACTGGATGGTTGATGGACATGCACATATATCATTGTATACCCTCTCCCATGTACTGTTGATCTATGTAACGCTTTCTGTAGAATTAATTCAGCTACACGTGTAATCTAGCAGGTTACCCCAAGGTCAAGGAGGTATTCAGACGTGGCCTCCTCCCGCATTATGATTGCACGCAGCACTCATAAAACAAGGTCCTGCCGGTTACCACATTAATTTGCAACTCCGGATCAAGGGATATCACAACGGAACTAAAACGCCCGGAACAAGGAACTCGGAAGTGCACATGTACAGCTGCTTATTGGGTATAATTCGTCTGTATTACGGTGGAGTACTTGGTTTCAACAAGGGACACACGAGAAAGAAATTGTCCGACATCCGGAGGACATATACAAGATGTACAAAATCCGTTAGTCGCGCACAAGAAATCACCCAGGAATTTGGGTTCAGTCGCCATTCATCGCTACCAGTCCACCGTTGAAAGGTTGACACCCTCGCTGTGGATCCGGCTTTCCATTGCAAGTCTCTTCTTTCCCCCCTCTCAAATGTCTCTGCAGCGAATCGTTCCGAGCGAAACTCGATCCACACTTTGCACAGTGAACCCTCTCCTTCATGTGAACTGCAACAATGTGGCGCGCAATACTCTCCCTCCTCATACTGCTCCTACAGCCCTGCCATAAGCACATCTGAGGCACCTTGTCGCCCGTAAGCGGGATCCCATGCTTCTCGTTTAAGTGCAGCATGACTTCGCGCCTGTCGCCTTGCACGA